AATGATTGAGTTACTGAATAACGGAATCAAATAAGTCAAATATGAGAATGGATTTTTAAAAATTTATATTTCGTACAATTGTTATCAAAGCAAACGAAGCGAAGAAACAAAGTGAAGAAAGCAAACAGATGAAAGTAAAGCAAAATGACACACGATGGAGAAGGCATATGAGCCAACTCAATTTAATCAAGCGTGAATCAATATTTATTGTCAAACAAAAATAGGTTACAGACATGTGATGAATAGAATAAGAAGTACGCATACATACGCTTAAGTAAAATCATTCACGTTTGACAAGTGAATAATTAACAAGGTTAAAATGTGACTCAAGAAGAATGAATAAATTAGCCTGTCCAGAAGCTAGAATATGTTATGTAGGCTCAGCATAGCAACCGACACTACAAGATTGATTAATTGGTAAAATCTGACAATTCAAATGTATATACCTTATGATTTATGATTACTGAATGTTATCAAAATGTAGTGTTTTCTCTGTTAAGCTTTATGAAAATAACTACCTATAAACATTAACAAATGTAGATTGTTTTACCATTTAACTCATTGATAAAATGCAAAGCCTTGTATAAATGTACTAACAAATAGGGCCTCTATAATCGTATTAAAGATGAAAATCGTCTTGAACATTTCCAGTATAGCATCTAATCGAATAATAATTTGTATCATACAGTTAATTGTTTATTGATGAATTATTTATAAAAGAAAATAAACTTAATCATTCTCTTTTCAAAATAATAACCAGGCTATCTTCTACATACCTTACTGCAATGCAATTTACAGAAACACCTAGATATAGCATCCGTAACTCTTTACAAGCTAAATCTTCTTACTTAGTGAATTAATTTGATTGTAAATTTTCGTAACTCTTGAATAAGTTCCTACAATCCATCCGTGAAATTAAATTGTTGCTATCATTCTTTCTTCATATTGATGTACACCTCTGATATTCAGTTCTTGACAACATACAACTTGAAGGTTTTTTTAAAACATTAGCATCTTTCTGTCTTACTAAGGAACTAACTATAAACACGATTATTAGTATTGAGGTTGTAGAGATTAATAAGTTTTTAATTAAGATCATGAACCGACTGATGTTAGATTACCGGTGGAAACCTGGAAGCACTGGACGGCTGTTTCGTCCTAGTATGGGGCTCCTCAGCAGTGCTCATCCACGATCTAGCTCGCGGGATTAGAACCCAGGGCCTTCAGTCTGGCGCGCGAACACTTAACCTACTAGACACACTGAGCCGGCATCCAATGGTGTTAGTGTGTAACATCGACCAATCCACGAAATTGCGCGACCATTTTCTATTGTACTGAGGTAGATACCTGTCTCTACCCGACATGGATTAGCTCCACTGATCACGGCTTCTCACTAGAACTCCGAGAATTCGCTCACGAAGCTAGTCACCAGTGAGCACATGTTAATTATAAACACCATTGTATAGTTTAATTAAATGATATTGTTGAAATGATAATTTTGTTCGATGAATCGCTTTTTTCTTCCTCTTATATATCGAGTAGTTGTCGACTGAATCGGTCATACAGATCGTATTAATGCGTAAGCAACATTTTCCAAGAATGTTCTGTCTAGTAATTTACCTACAATCGCATCTAACGAAATTATATATATATATATATCATCTGAGTACATCAAATAACGCATAACATACAACGGACTGATTGAATATTTGGGCTACCTATTCCTGACATCTAGATATTTAAACAACCTATCTGTTTCCTTATTCGCTTTAACACATCATTATGTCAATTAATTGCATGAACTATTCACGTGCGTTTGTGAAACGGTTACGATACTTTGCTATACATGGTATAAAAGTTTACAATCCGAGATATTGAGATGGCTGACAATATGCATTGAAAAGAATCAATATTATTCAAATGTCTACTTCTGAAATGTTAATGTCTAACTGACGATCACTCAATATTTATCGTCAATATAGATGAAGAAATAAGAAACGGGAACTTGCTGAAATCCTTTATCCTGATAATTCTATATTGTACTAAAACTATAATGTAGAATAAAACTTACATATATGAGATCATCAGGATAGCGAATAGCATAAAACTATTGAAGAGTACTAATAGAAAGAAAAATCTCCCTCAAAATCCTTCCTCATACAGGGATCACCAATTTTATTAAGCAAGGGAAGAAACCCTAATATTTAGGTTGGTTTCATTTAGAAGATAACAACACAGTGTATATTATAAACGTTTGTTTAAATATCACATATCACATTGGTTGACAAATAGATCACGTAGACAAGTGTAAAATCATGCTAATTCAATTTACAACCTCATATCTCTTTTGTGTATTAACTACCAATTTCTAACATATTACGGTGAGACTATAATTTATCGACTACCTTTGAGCGATGCTCGACTGAAAACGATAGTGTCCACCTAATGACTAGGACCAAATGAGGATTATATACCTGTGTGAGGACTTTGATGATCTAGACTTCGCAGATGATCTGGCTCTTCTATCGCATACGCAACAACAAATGCAGGAGAAGACGAACAGTGTAGCAGCAGCCTCAGCAGCAATAGGTCTCAATATACACAAAGGGAAAAGCAAGATTCTTCGATACAACACAGCATGTATCAATCCGATCACAATTGACGGAGAAGCTTTGGAAGATGTAAAAACCTTTACATATTTGGGCAGTATCATCGATGAACACGGTGGATCTGATGCAGATGTGAAGGCACGGATTGGCAAAGCAAGAGCAGCATATCTACAACTGAAGAATATCTGGAACTCAAAACAATTGGCAACCAACACCAAAGTCAGAATTTTCAATACAAATGTCAAGACAGTTCTACTGTATGGGGCGGAAATCTGGAAAACTACGAAATCCATCGTCCAAAAGATACAGGTGTTCATTAACAGTTGTCCACGCAAAATACTTCAGATCCGCTGGCCGAACACCATTAGCAACAACCTACTGTGGGAGAGAACAAATCAGATCCCAGTGGAGTAATAAATCAGGAAGAAGCGTTGGACGTGTATAGGACACACATTGAGGAAAGCACCGAACTGCATCACAAGACAAGCCCTCATATGCAATCCTCAAGGTCGAAGGAGGAGAGGAAGACCAAAGAATACATTACGCCGAGAAATGGAGATAGATATGAGAAAAATGAACAAGAATTGGATGGAACTAGAAAAGAAGGCCCAGGACAGAGTGGGTTGGAGAATGCTGGTCGGCGGCCTATGCTCCATTGGGAGTAACAGGCGTAAGTAAGTAAGTGAGGACTTTGAATTGTGATTTACAGTTGACGGTTATGGTTAGGAATTAGATTTCGGGTTTTCATCACAAACTGTCATCTAGTATAATGCCAAAACTCTATTTTGTTAAATAGATGAGTAAATTTCCCGCCAAAATTCGAAACCTGTTATCTTATAGCTGATTGGTTCGTTCATAAATTATAGTCTCGCACATATTTCAATTATTTTCCTATCGAACAAACTAGAAATTATATGAAATCAAATTATATAACTTAGAAATTAATCATTTATTATTTGTTCCTTTCAATAAACTAGATTTCTATACCTTTGATTAAACAAATAACATTCTTAACTCGTTTATCATTATATTCTACACATATTCCATTTCGATTTGACTATATTTAACATAAACCATTCTAGATTTTTTAGGCTCGTTGTTTAGAAATATCATTATGGCAATCACTGATTTCGACCTCTTTCATACTTTTCAAATGTGAGTAAATAATTTTTACATCAAAAGATATTTGCATTTTGGTCAAAAATAGACTGATTAATTGCAGTCCTAAATAACAATGAGAAGATACAAGTCAAATAACACCGAGTAAATTTAAACTTCACCCCAATTCACAAATAGGTGGCTGTCAGCACTCAGTAGCTAGGTGGATAACACGAAGGCGTTTGAAGCGAATGGTATTTTGTTCAAGTCCCAGATTGAATATCATCTCTGAGACTCAGGTGCATCCAGCTGAAACGAAACGCACGTTATGGATTCCACTGCTAGCTACTATCCATGTTTGCTTAGAAAGAAAACTAGTTGAAAACTAAAAAAAATAATATCGTAACCAAGTCATAATTTTTGTTGACGGTTTATAGTGAATGAATGATTAGGTTTGAACAACTTGAATTAATAAATAAATATATGAAAAAAAGATGGGGGAATATTTTAACTCTTCTCTCAAATTGATTTACATAAATCTGATTTAAAGAAATTAATATTTAACACAGGAGTATAAGTCACTGAATTTGATTTTGATAATTGTTCAAGTTTAATTGGATAGAAACTCTCAGAATCCTTCAACGGCCTCTAAAAGCCCCATCATAGTTCTCAATAGCCATTCAAACATTAATAACTTAATGAAGTACTTTAATACTGACCAGATAATTCAATATCAAATACAATAAACCTATGCATTGAAATACTTAGTAATTATGTAATTTAATATCATCTGTGATGTATTCTTCTTACATATATTAAAATGTTGGATAGAATCCAGTGAAACTATTCAGATTTAAAACTACTGAATTAAAACAAATTTTAATTATTTAATTAGAGAAAATAAACAAGAAATACATTGATAAATGACAAGATATATGCAGATAGTTACAATAATAATAATTACTATTATTATGTTATTGTTGGTGGTTGTGGTGATGGTGGTGGTGGTAGTAGTAGTGGTGGTGGCGGTGTTCTACACACATTCATATGTACAAAGAAGTTTAGAAATAATCATGAATAAAACATTGAACATATAATGCACTTAATAAATGTATAAAAATGTAAAGAAATCAATAATTCATTTTGATAATATAATAAGAACACGAAGATTATCAGTACTATATGATTGCGCTAATATATTATCACATAGTTCTGATCATCTTTATCTTCTTATTACATTATCGAAATTTATCAAAGGGACTAATCGGTTCAAATATATATATATATATATATATATATATATATATATATATATGACTGTCAATCAGTGAAATCAAGGAGCAAAGAAACAATAATATCAGAATTCAAAATGATTTAATCTTGTATCCAAAAAAAAAGAAAAACAAGAAGAAAAAGAAAAATTAAAGAAAATATAGAAAGAAATTAGGGTGAATCAAAAAAAAATTTTTTTCTTTTAAAAAATAATCATTTCTGTGGTATTTATTATTGCGTTTATTATGGTAAACAATTTGATTACATGAATATCCGACTAAGATATTGTTTTATTATAGTACTATGTTTGACAGTGGTTGTTTTTGTTGTTTTGTTTTCTTTTTCTTGAAATTTCCTGTAGACATTTTTTGTATGTTTGTTTGTTTGTTTGTTTACTCTTTGAAGTCCGATTATATTTCATGTATATTAGAATGTATTACATCAAGAAATTAAAGATGTTCAATACTTTTATATTCTTCATGGTATTATCTCTTGAATGCTGGTAAGCTACCTATGCTCCTTCACAAGGAATAACAGGCGTAAGTAAGTAAGTATTATCTCTTGAACATATTAATTTATTCAATATTTACATTTTCATTGAAATCAATCTTTTGACATATACTAGATGATTTAAATAAATTTGTTTTAGTTGATTCAATAGTTTGATTCATTTCAATTGGTTTTTTATTAATAATTAATTTTTTTGATTGACGATATTGTGATGATGTAAAATCAATATCATCTTGTCTATCACTATTAGTTAATAAACGATTATGTGAACGACGTGCAATTGATGGTATATTATCACTTTCATCATTTAGACCAAGTTTCATTAATGTATTACAACGACAACCTAATTTATAAAATAAATTTCTACATAATTGATGTACACGTTGACGAAAATTACATCCAGTTGCATAATAAATTATAAAACTAAATGCATAATGTGATAAAGCAATTTCATCACCGAATGCTTTAATAGTAATCATTTTGAAATATTGATTCCAAATAGGATCTTCTAAAGCCTAATAAAATAGAATAGAAACAATTAAATTGTATTTTATAGTTATTCAATGTGAAGTATAATTTGTATGGACAAGTTCAAATTGGCAAATAATATCCGGTCGCGGCCCGGATAGCTCAGTGGTAACATGTCTGACTGTGAAGCTGGGTGACACGGGATCGAATCCGTCAGGGAGCACCAGTTCCCTCAAAGATTACAGGTACACCTTGATGACGAGTGCCAAGTAGCAAGAAATCCGGGTTCAGGGTTTCCTGTTGACTACCTCCAACCACCATCTAATCTCATAATATTGCACGCAGTGTCGACGGACCTAGACTGGTGGTCACATTGCAACATGCTCGATCTGTACTAATAATAAGGAGTAGACACGCATGACATTGGTCACCACCCAGTGATTAATTAATTGTGAAGTAATATACCAATGATGGATTAATTCCCTATAATCCATTTAATAGTTTTCTGATTACAGTCTAAATATTTCTCTATCAATATAACACATCAATAACTGTTGCAATTTCAAACTGGCACATCTAGTTGTAACTAATTAAGGTACAAGCCTTATTAAGAAGAATTAGGTAGTGTTTAGTTTCAGTGTGGATATTAATACAAATTTAGGTAAATCTAGTTGATTAATCACAAACTGGGTGAGACCTGTGTCCTGGATTTCACTGTTAGCGATTATCAAACTCTTCCTAAGATGGTCTGTAAATAAGTGACAACATTGAAGTAATGCTCCTAGGATAGATGTTTGATTATAGTAGTTCATCGACTTTGGTCCTTAACATTAGTAAAAGGGAAGTTACAAGCGTTTACAATATCATAATTATATGCTTCACAACGAAAGTTACATCTAATTTCTCTTTAGCAAACAAAAGATGTGATTACCGTTAAATTCGACCTCAGGCATGTTCAGTGACGAACCTAATAGTTAACTCAAATTTTTACCGATGATATTACTACTTAAAATACTTTAAACATTACTACACTCTTCAAGCTGAATGTTTTTTCCCAAAAACTATCATTGTTGTTTACAACATCGTCATTTACCGAGTTAAGGTTGAAATATTTTAAAACATCCAATAAATTGTATTGAATGTGGTATTTTGTCTAATAAACTAACAGTAAGTAAGATTTTTTAGAAGTTCAGGAGGTCGACACCCCTTCTAACAACTAGAGCAACAATTAATATGGGTAAATGGAATGTCCGAACAACGTTGGAGACCTGAAGGACCAGTCTAATAGTTAAAGAAATGAGGAGATACAACGTGGGACCCATTATAATCAAGTAAGACAGAAAAGATTAGACTCGGGAGTAAGTAACGAGGAAAAAAATATTTCGCACACCAAAAAATGACTTGCTGATGCTACCCAAAGAAGCATGTAAAGCACTTGTAGGATGGGAATCTCATGGACTAAGAATCATCAAAGCATCTCGGTCAAAACAAGGAAAGAGGGTATCACAATCAATGTTATTCGGTATTATGCTGCTATCAACGACAGAAAAAGAAAACATAAGAAACGTTTTTATGAGAGTTTGTAATCGATCGTAGAAAAGTGCTAATGAGAAGACCTGACAATCTTGATGAGAGGTCTAAACGCCAAAGTGGAGTGGAAAACAACGGTTGTGAAGATGTCATAAGATGATATGGAATGGATTGGAGAAATCAACTAGAATGGTGACAGATTTGCAAATTGATGTGCATCCGACAAAACGGTCATTGGTGTCGCAATACTCCCACACAAACGCATACACAAAGCTACATAGATCACACTAGCTCACATTACAGAAAATCGCATAGATCACATTTGCATCGCTAAAAAATTCACACGGTCACTGGAAGGCGTGAGAAATAGGGGAAGATCTGATATAGATTATGATCACAATCTACCTGGTGGTCGCCAAGATCAAACTGAAGCTAAAGAAACACTGAGCAAACAGTATTACAAAGGTTCAATATAGCCTTCCTTCGACATATTGACTAACTCAAAGAATTCAAGACAACTCTCAACAATAGGTTCCAAGCCTTACAGGATTTACCGAAAAAAGAAACTGAGTACAACTGGAAACGGACCAAAGAAGCACTGATTCCAGCGTGTCAGGAGGTGCTGGACAGTAACCAGTATCATAGGGAATGCATCTCTATTGAAACCCTGTGCAAAATTCAAGGAAGGAAGAACAAGACGACAGAAATTAACAACAGTCGAACAAAACAGAGCAGGTCATGACACAAGCTGAATACACTGAAGCAAACAAGCAAGTGAAGAGGAGTATTAGAGCCGTCAAGCAGAAATACTTGTAAGAGCCAGCAACGACAGAGGAAAAAGCTACAACAGAAGAAAATATGAGACATCTATATGGCACAACGAAGAACCTAGCAGGGAAATATAGTAACCTAGATAGACTGGTCAAGAATAAAGAAAGCAAGACAATCACTGGGATTTAGGAACAGTGGAACTGGAGAGAAGAACGCCTTTAAGTGCTTTTGAATAGACCAACACCACGGAGCCCAGCGAACATCGAAGCAGCACATACTGACCCTCCTATAGATGTCCCGAAGATAATACCTCAGCAAAGATCGAAGAAATCAGCATTGTCATGAGATGAATCAAGAGTGCGAAAGCAGTAGGACCTGACAATATATCAGCCGAAGCATTGATGTTAAACATAGGAGTAACTGCAAGCATGCTTCACACTATTTAAAAATATTTGCGAAAAACAACAAGTGTCACTGACAGACTGGAAAGACGGACACCTGATCAAGATACCAAAGAAAGGAGATCTGGGCAAATATGAGAACTGCAGAGGCATAACACTACTGTCAGTACCAGGAAAAGCCTTTAACAGAGTGTTTCTGGACTGGATGAAAGACACAGTAAACACCCAACTTCGAGATCAACAGACTGGATCTCTTGAAGATCGGTCATGCATGGACTCTATGGATAATTGTTGAACAATCGGTTGGATGGAACTCCTCATAATACATTAACATCCTTGTCTATGAGAAGGCGTTTGACAGTGTGGATAAGTGGAACCTTCTTGGACACTATGGTTTCAGTAGCTCAGAAGACGGTTAATATCATACGGACTCTCTTTTCTTCTGGTGGTTTACTGGATAATAAAGGAAAAGGCCGAAGAATACATTGTGTGGGGAATCTCAGATAGACATCAAAAGAATAAATAGAAAATGGAAAGAATAGAGGAAGACACTGTTCAATGGACAATCCTGGTTGGCAGACTATGATCACCCACTGAGGGTCCAGGAGTAAGTGAGTAACTAAGTGGCTCTGAAACGTACTTTCTTAATATATGACAATAATTTTTCTGTTCATGAGATGATTTTTATTGATTTATATTACACTCATTAATAGTGGACTTCACTAAAAGCTGAAACTTATTTTTCCTTATCTATACTAAAACATCGTCTAATTGTGTTGGTATTCCAATTCAATAGATTATGATAACAAAATTTATGATGTTTCAATCAACTTAGTGAGAATATCACTGGTTGAAATCATGAGTCATTTGAAGCTATACAACTATGGAAATCCTGGGAGCACTGGACGGCTGTTTCGTTCTAGCATGACTCCACGATCCCTCCCCGTGTGAGATTCGAACCCAGAACCTATCAGACTCGCTCCAGGCGTTTAACCAACTAGACCACTGAGCCGGCATCCAACGGTGTTTTATTTTTTTACTTTTATCATTCTAAGTATAACGTGAACAAAGGTGTGAAAAGAATAACTTGAGCTGATCTTATTACATTAGATTCTTATAAGCTATTCACAACCTGTCGTATTTAAAAATCATTACTATAAAATGAGTAGAAAACACTTCTATCAATGTCTTTTGCTGAATTTTAGTGTTAGAACATATCCGCATAGTATAACAAAGATTTAGATAGATTTAAGCAACTAAATAGAATTTCAAATGTACATAACATGTAAAAAACAATATTCAACAACATTGGCATTAAAAAAAGGAAATCGAAGAGTTACAATTCAGTGATTGCTCAATGAGAAAAATCTAGTGATAAGTAAGAATAGAATTAGTAAAGCGTAATTGGCTAAGAAATTAAAATTACTTAATGAAATGATAATTAAAATAAAATCATTTCTTTGACATTCGAAAGCAACAGCAAACTTCAGAAGATTGGAGGTTGTTTGTTCATCGATTAATTTGGAGGATTCCAAGGTCTCAACCCGATATCTGGCAACCAGGACATATCTAGTGATTACTTTATTCAAATTATTTCTTCCTCTTGATGGAAAGCGGCGATACTCTAATATAAACGAGACAATCTGAAGTGTTTGATGGATTTCAAGATCACTGCGCCGATTTCAGTACCTGATGCTTACGTACTATCGGATTACAGCGGACTTTAGATAAGACGTGATTTTTGAACGCTTACAACACTAAAAAGTTCCTTTATTTGTGACTGTGGTAATCAAATGACTTCTGTACCTTGTTCAGACTACCGTGATGAGATTGTCTTTCGAGGTTATTCATGTTAGAGGAAGAAGTATGCTCGATACTGATTGAGACTACAAGAAATCATGATAATTGTTGCGATAAAAATGATAAGTTTACACGAGTCGTTTGGAGAAGTTGGGAGAATCGTTGAAATAGGCGAAAAAGTAGTCCGGAAGCCAAAACATAACAGAGGACGTAGTATTAAGGAAGACTGGATAAGTGGCACTTTCATAAATATACCTCACAGGTACTTGGAATTTACGACAGACCAACCCGAAAGGGACACTTCCAAAGGGTCAGAAGCACTACGATTTCAGAACCTCTGAACCCCTTTCAAACCTTAATAAGTTTATGAACCATGTAAAAGAAGTATATCCACTTTAATTCTTCCGGTTTTTTATCATACATTTTTACTTTATACTAACTGTCTTCTGATTGGTTAATATTTATCAAGGTCACTTAAGATTCGTTCAAAGGTCGTCCATAAAGTAGAGTCTCGCCGTTTGGTTTCAGGATAAGCTCTGACTACATTAGTGTTAAACTTTCTACCGTTTTTTTCTTCAAAATCAACACCTTTAAAGTTATGATGAATAAGAATATACCTTTCAACCGACAAGATTACAAATGAATTGTGTTATATGCTGACGAGAATAATGAATGGTAACATTTGGGATTTATTTATGGACTAATACTATACATAAGTTTTTATTGTATAATTGTTTAATAACCAAAATATCTGTATTCATATTCATTTTGTTGCAATTATATGATATACTGTTCTTTATTAATTACAGTCTCCCACAATCACAGCCACTTTTTGTCGTGATCTTGTACAAATATTATTTTTTACTTTATGTTACGATGTGATCTGTTTGCTTTATATATAAACCCAATATATTTGAAATATATCATTCATATCGCGTAGGCTGAGATTTGTTTTCTGCATTTAACAGGCAAGGAAAAGGACCAATAGGAGCTCCAGACTGTTCGTACAGGTGTCTGCATCATTAGTTGGTCATAAAGTCTGCGTATCTAAATTTGGCAAATTGTATTCACGTAATCGTATAAATTAAGAACATAACAATTTGCTTTAGTCATTTTCCCATTTATGAATAAATTTTTAAGAGTAAGAATTGTCTCTAGGACAGAGTTCAACATTAATTACTTCTTCCTGTCTGTCAGTTATATATGTATACACCAATTGGCGTAATTTCGTGGATTTGAACTTAGACATTAACACTGTTCGATGTCGGCCCAGTGGTCTAGAGGTTAAGCGCTCGCACGCGAGACTGATAAGTCCTGGGTCCGAATCCCGCGAGGCAAGATCGTGGATGTGCACCGCCGAGAAGTCATACAATAGGACAAAAATGCTGTCCACTGCTTCCAGGTCTTCTATGGTGGCCTAGCTTCAACTGACTCATAATCCAAATATTAAATAAATATATATATATATATATATATATATATATATATATATATATCCAACTCCGCCTAGAGCACGTCTGGGGTTACTGCTGGTCCTAAGCCCAGATGAAGCAGGAGGGTTGGGTATGACGTTAGCGACCCCATCCTGTAGAAAGCAAACTCGCTTAAATTACGATATATATATATATATATATATATATATATATTCATTTCTACCTGATGAAATAACATTTTGACCTATCATTTCTTATAATTGATTAGACAAAACAAAAACTATTAAAATTCACCAAAACATAATGGATTTGAATCACTTACATAAAAGAGTTAAGTAGGAAATTATATTGAAGACATATTCGTATAGTGTAGCAAGGGTGTTAATAAATTTAAGACTGAATATTGTAAATATATACCTTATGTAAAAGAACATTCTACAACATTGATTGTGACAACAGTTCAAATGGTTAGAGACAAGTGATTAAATAGTGAGAAGGGTTTTTTTGGAGGTTTCAGAAATTTTAATAGTTGAAATCATGAGTCAATTGAAACTAAAGAACCATGGAAAACCTGGAAGCCGTTTCGTCCTATTGAGGGACTTCTCAGCAGTGTGCATCCACGATCCTGCCTCTCGGCGAGATTTGAATTCAGGACCTATCAGTCTTGCGCTTGAGCGCTTAACCATTAGATCACTGAGCCGGCGGATATCCAACGGTGTTAATTTATAACTTCAACTAATGCACGAAATGGCATAATAAATAAATATTGATAGAAATATAGTGAGCAGAGCTCAGTTGATAAAATAAGAATATTAATTTAGAAGATAGTTGAAATAAAACTCAATGATGGAATAAATATGGGAAGGAGTTCAACGAAAAAGAAAAAAAGAAAAAAATTAAGATGCAATGAAAGAGTATTTGTCGCCAAAGCAATAACCTATGAAATAAAAATGAATTCATATTATTCTGCTAAAATCTTTATTCTTGGTCTTTTCAAAATAATAAAAAGGGAATTCTACGTGTATGAAAACAAAAATTATTCAAACAAAAATATCAATGATAATTATTCAATAACTTACTTCTTTTTCTGTTGCATTCATATTAGGCTCTTCTTGTGTTTGATGTATTAAATAAACAAGACCACCAAGTAATGTTGTTAAAATTGTATAAAAACTAACTGTTAAAAGCATTAATGTTGTTGATTTAAAACTTGGACTAGTACGTTTATTATGTGAAATTTTATATGAATCATTATAATTTATATGAATTAATTCATTATTATTATTATTACGATTAGAAGTGATTGATTTTTCATTAATTATTGATTTTTTATTAGTGATTGAATTTATTGAATTATATTGATGAATAAAATTTAGTGAATTATCATTTGATATTGGGTGAATTAATGAATTTTTATGAATATTTTTATTTGATTTAATTGAATTTGATGATAGTTGCTTAGTGAAAATATTTTTAAAATATAATTTAATTTTATTTGCATGGTGATTACTGTTATTATTATTATTAGTAGTAGTAGTATATGAGGGTTTTAATGAATTTTTATTATTTATTATATTTGATTGAGATGTTGAACAATATGATGATGATGATAAATGATTTGACATAATAGCTAATTGTTTATTAGCATGATGAACTTTAGCTAATTCTTTTATAACTAAACAATTAAATATTAATACTAATAATGGTACAATACCAGCAAATACACCTTCTAAACATGATAAATATACACTTATAATTAATGGATTAATATGTCGTTTACTACATGTATTTGTTTCTGTTATAAATATATATGCATAACCAGAACAAACAATTATTGTACTAATTATAATAATTATACATATATAAATTGCTCTTTTTGAACTACATATTCTATCAATATAAAATGGTTTACATATAGCTAACCAACGTTCAATAGTAAAAGCAAGTACAAATAATGGTGATGCATATTGTACAGCTGGTGATAAAATATTTTGTATTTCACATGAACCAGGTAATAAATATTCACGTATTTGCCATACACGTGATAAATCTCTATTTAATGCAAATATTAATACAATAATATCATTTAATGATAATGCAGCTAAATAAACAGCAGCAGAATTTTCTTTGATCATTTTTTTATTAGACCATATAATTAATGATATAAAATTACCTGGAAAACCTAATATATAATAAATTATTGTTACATAACGATCAACAAATAATGCTGTAGGAACAAAATGTTTTGCAAAATCAATCCATGTTGTATAAATTTCTAATAACATTTTATCGGATATTGATTTATTATTATCATTATTATTGATTAAATTATCAATTGAATAATTATTATTGGTATCATTGTTATTGATTGTAATTGAATTAGTAAATTGAATAATAATTAATAATATATATAGGAATAATATTGTTTTGGATAGTAACTGATTAGACGTCATTAGAAATTTTGAATTACTATGGATAGTAACTGAAATAGAAAATGAGCAATAACAAAAAATTTTTTGTTGTTGAAATATTAATGTATTGATAATGTAATAAGATGATATTATGACAAGATGATAATTCTTAATTAAACATTAAAAATTAAAAATAAGAAGTTCAGTGAACAGATCTCTTTTCCCACTATAGTTCTACAAATGTGAGAGGAAAGCAGTTAGGAGTTTTATACTTGAACATCTAATCGATTATAATCATTCTACAGATCCATAGTTTGCATATATAATTCGGTCAAATCTACCTAGATTTCTTCGTATTCAACTCCTACAATTAGCGGAAGTTATTACCATCCATGTGCGTCCTATTGTTATCGTCACCTTGGCCTTAAGTAATATTATTATTACTGCATTCACCTTTACTTTTATCTTATATTCTCATTATTTTATTTATAAATGTTGATTATATCACATTATTTATTTTTACACCTTTATGACCTTTAATAACCTTTAATTATTGTGACAAAAACATTTTAATCATCTTATTACATTCACTAAATCTATTGTTATTATTCGTATCACGTAATCTACTATTATAATCTTTCTATTATGTCATTTTGATTACTTATGTCCACATTTCCTCACGGAATTAGTACTTTAACAAAAGAAAATTCCAATAGTTGAGATCAGCAGTGTGTATCTATGACCCCGTCCGCGGGATTCGAGCCCAGGGCCTATCAGTCTCGCAAGCGAGTGCTTAGCCATATATATACGATTTTACAGCTTGATTATAAAAGATGATATATTTCAGATAATGAAGATAAAGTGAATACATTTAAACTTTTCGTCTTAAATTTAAAAATTGTTTCAGTTATTTCATTTGGTGTTGCTTTTAGTTTAGAAATAATTTCTTATTTGATAGATGTTAAATAGCTTAATAATAATAATAAAAAAATTTGTTATACTATACATTGTTATATTATGGTGTACAGGCAACTTTCCATGAAGCGCCTACTACTTTAGCTTCAGATTGATTTTGTAAAACGTATTCTTTTGGAATTTCCTTTTCTTTCCTTCTGTCCTTCTTAGAGTTTTGTCCCATTTCGATAACCAGTTGTGAAATAATTGAAAATGTATTATGAAAATTGTATTCGGATAATTTTAGCACCATTGAAGCTTGGCAACCTAGTATAATTTTACAGCTTATATCAACTGATTGGAAGTATTTTATTATATAAAAACTGCTTGGTCGAATCTGAATCCACAGTTTAGCCGACATGCATTTTAAATGGGATAAATATGAAACGCTGAAATGTGCCTTAACATTAATAATATGTATTACTTCAAACGTGTAAGTTATGTTCCAGATAGACTCCAGGAGATGACTTATTTGTCTAAGCCGAATACCCGTTTAATTTACGCTATTTTTCAATGTAAGAACCTACATAATGTGAGGTTTATAACTGAAACATTTTTTATTATGACTACTATTGAAACCGTCCTCTTTTGTAATTGATGAAAGAGTTTATAATTACTACGTGTAGTGTTAGAATCTATTAGTTAGCACTGAAATCTAGAGGCATAAGTTTCTATCATTTTGTCTTAATTCAGTGATCTCTAGAAAGGCTGTTTACTCAGCTCTAAGTCAACTACTTTGTACGAGTGCTAGTGATATTACTTAGCTGCCTAAATTAATGCATTTAAAAAACGGATTGAATCAGTGATTATTTGAATAGAACTTGATGTAGTAATCTTTAAAGCGTTAACGCACTCCGTTTTGGAGGAGTCGATTACAAAAACTTAAATACACGTAAATCACATCATTTGAACTAATGACCCCTTTATAAGTTAGTCTATTAGATTCGAACATTACTAAGGTCTAGATGAACATGACATTGGTTCTACTGGAAGTCAGTTGTGGTCCGATTAACTTGATAATAACCTTTCAGCCGGGTGATAGGTGTCTTATTGCCAATCCTACCAAATTTCAGTTATTGTTTCATAGCAATTCACAATTACAACGACACTACCGTTTGAACAACCTACGAACATTAACACCACTGAGTAGCGTTTCACTAGTTTAGAGGTTAAGCAATCGCACCAGACCGAAGCACCTGGGTTCAAGCCCCACATCACTGATCGTATATATTCACTGCTGAGGAGCCCTATACTAGAACTAAACGGCCATCAAGTGCTTTCAGGATTTTAATGAGGATCTAACTTATATATCGATTCATGATTTCAATAAAATGTAACAATCTCCACAACCCCTTACTAAAAATATGATCAAACTTTTCGTAAGCAATGATGGATAATGGCTAGCAGTGGAATCCAGAACGCGCGTTTCACCCTACTTGGGACTCGTCAGCTGGATGTACCTGCATCTCAGAGTTGATGTTCACTCTTGAACTCGAACCCAGTACCATTCACTTCAAACGCTATCACGTTATCCACTCAGCTACTGAGCCCTGATAGCCACTTTCTTGTGCAATAGGGTGAACTTAAATTCACTTGGTATTGTTTGACTTGTATCTTCCTATTGAGGTTTGAGACTGCAATTGATCAGTCTGTTATTGGCATATGTGCATACTGTGCGTGTGCTTCGATATTGCTTTAATTCACAAGCTTTTTGTAAGTAATGATGGATGGTGGCTAGCAGTGGAATCGAGGACGCGCGTTTCGTCCTATTTGGTACTCGTCAGCTGGATGTACTTGCATCTCAGAGTTGATGTTCACTTTGGAACTCAAACCCAGTACCATTCGCTTCAAACGCTATCTTGTTATCCATCATCGCTTATAAAAAGCTTGTGAATTAAGGAATTATCGAGGCATACGCACAGTATGCACATATGCCAATAACAGACTGATCAATTGCAGTCTCAAACCTCAATAGGAAGATACAAGTCAAACAATACCAAGTGAATATGATCAAACTGTTTTATATTGATATAAATAATCTATTTGTTATAATCTATAAAAGTAGATAAATTGAACTTCTTTTGTTTAGAAACAAATAATGTATTTCTGTAAGATTAAACAAATCACATCAAACAACCCGTTATGACAAAAAACATAGGCTTAGATTTGTTTATACTTATTAATTATTTGATCTCATTTGACTATTTTCTGTTTTTCAATAGTTAAACAATTTACTTTCTATTTCGTTTTAACTATAAGCTATCAGATATTCATACCATAGTAGGAGAATTAACAGAATGACTGAAAATGGATAAACTTTTAACTAGATTTAATAATATTGTATTTGACTAGGTAGATTATCATTGTATGTTTGTTTGTTTTTTCTTTGTTCGATTACAAAACTGATAACCTTGTGGAGAAAGATAATGAAAACTTTATGGTTAAACTATTCTGCTCATAGAAGAAACATCCTGAAGAAAAACTGAAAATTTATGGCTTTAAAACATTTTTAAGTCAATATTTATCAAGCAATCTATTATGTAATACATACAATTGATGTTTATCTGTTCTAAACTCAACTAGTTACATTATTTTAATAGTTGAGATCATAAGTCAATTGAAGCTAGATCATCACAGAAAATCTGGAAACACTGAACTACCGTTTCGTCCTATTTTTGGGACTTTTCAGTAGTGCATATCCATGATCCCACTTCGTGAGATTTGAACCCAGGACCTGTCGGTCTCACGCACGGAGTCTTAAAATAAGACAAAACTGCCGGATAGTGCTTCCAGGTTTTTCATGATGGTCTAGCTTTAATTGACTATTAAAATTACTACTAATATCTACAAAAACCCCTTCCGATATTTATATTATCATAGAATAAGTATGCCCAAGAGTTGAAAAGCTAAAGAGAAATCAAAACAACACTATCAATAGCAGTGAAAAAATAGAAAATAAATATTTAGCTGAAAAAAAGGAATGAACAATAATCAGGGTATAGAATTATTTTAAGGATATCAAGCATGATATATGAATTTAGTATCTCAACGAATTAGTTGGTGGCTATGAGACTAATTTTATTCCAATCACATTGTGTCTTTAATAAAAAATAGATTCTACTAAAAGGTCATTAAGATTCAAGAAGTATATCATAAATGATAAAGTAAAACAACATACACAATGACGTGTTTTGTATAAATAAGCCAGAAAAACTAGTAATTTGTTAAGATTCAGTCATATGATTTTACGATGGTGGAGATTTTTAGCTCTGGTGGATGATTTTGATGGAGTTTTGTTCTCTGAGGTGGATGGTTTCGTCACGATGCTTTCATCGTTCTTTTGAACGAAATCATCACCACCTGAAGTTTGTGCTGATGATGTCGTTCGAAAGTACAATGAAAGCTCCACGACCAAACCATCCAGCTTAAAGAACAAAACTCTGGTTTACCCGGTATTTATCTACGGAAAGCATAATCTATCAAATTCTTGATTCTTTCATTCCTTTTTGGTATGATACGTGTATCCTATCAAAAAGTATGAAACTAAAACGAAATATTTCTTTTATGACTTTTAAGGTTCATTTACTGAAAAATGTCCTGTACAATTGTGTAAAATCATCGAGAAACATTAATATTAATTAATTTATCTAAAATATGTCGTTTCAAATTATAGCACGTGAATTTAGAATTGTTTGTAATATAAAATGAAATAAAATGAATAAAACGAATAATAGGTTGTACAAGATCTTGGATCAACTGAAGTTAGACATAAAAACTGTTGGATGTCAGCTCAATGATCTAGAGTTTAAGCGTTCGTTAGTGAGACCGAAGGTCTTGGGTTTGATTAACGTGTTCATGCACTGCTGAGGCATCCCATACTTAGACGAAGCAGCCATCCAATTCTTCCGAGTTTTCAATGGTGGTTTAGCTTAGATTGACTCGTGAATTTACGTGTTAAAATACTAGATTGTCTACACATCCCCATTCTGATAAAAATAGAATCATTAATGTTGGGATCATTAATATGATGTGTTTACTTGATAAAGTTTATACTTTAAATGAAATTGTGATATAAGTGATCAGAATAAATATGGTTAACATGAGGTGAGAGAGATAA